CCCCCCCCTGAGTAGGTGTGTGCGTCTCGTTGTGCTGCGGTGCCTGATGCTTACTTGCGTTGTGGCTGCACTTGTTTTTTTTTTTTCTGTTTCTTTGGTTCTCCTTTGCCATGGTTCATCGTTGCCTTCTGTCCTTTTTTTTTTTGTGTTTGCCTCCTCCCTCCTGTCGTTTTCTTTGTGTTCATTAAATTTCTGTTTTCGTGCCACGCAGTTCGTTGTGGCGTCTGCAGCAAAAAGTCAAATACTGCCGTGTATCGGTGTTTATATATATATATATATATATAAACACACACACACATACACGTGCAGCTGGGTGCGGTGCCTGCAGGAGTCGAGCCGCGCCGAGCAGTGAGTGGCGGCGCAGCAGCAGCGGGGGAGCGTGTTTCCGGCCGGTGGTGGGCAGCGACCTCGCCGCACGCACACACACAGACACACGCACACACACACACAGACTGATCAAAGGGAGGTGTAGGGAGCGGAGGAAGGCCGTTAGGTGCAGGGTTCCCGTTGAAGAAACAAGAAAAAAGAAACAGAGGCCATAGTAACAACAAAGAGTCAAACAAAAACAACAAGAAATAAAACGAGAAGGGAAGCAGTGCATATCATACCAGTGCACCTTGGCGATGTTCTCCTTTCCCACAGCCCCATTCACGCCATTGCGTGCGGCTGCCGTATTGCCGGTGCTCCTGCTGTTACTGCTCATTGCTGCGAACGGCGCGCAGGCGTACATCACAGGCGCCGTCTCATGGGCCTCAACGGAGGGCTCCACCGCAGCGGACAGAACTTTTTCTGCGCCACTGTTTGCAACCGATGGCACGGTCCTTCTGTACGCAGAGATGGTCCCGAGCAGTGCAACGTTCCGTCTCCGTAATGTCACCGGCCTTGTGATACAGGAGTCGACGTACGACCCCTTCGCTGAGTGTGCGAGCCCCACCGGGGTGACGCTCTACAACCAAGGCCCGCGTGTGTTCATCTTCTGTGGCGACGGCCAGCTATTCTTCGATGTTGTGCTAGATACCACATCGGGGGCCGTGCATGCGGAGCGCTACACCACCGAGGAGACGTTTTACCCCTCGGAAACGCCACACCCGACACCACTGCTGCTCGCGCGCCGCCCCAATGCAGGGCTGCAGGTGGACGCCGCGCTGGTGGTGTCGCGCCGCGGCCGCGAGTACTGCATTGGGCGCTACGTGCCAAAGGAGCATTTCATTGTGTGCCAGGCGGAGCCTATAGCCGACTTCTACCTCGCAACGTGGGCGGCAGCGGCGTCAGCGGAGGAGCTGGACCCAAATACATACCTCATCACGGAGTCTAAAGTGCCGACGGGACTGCGGCTCGACAACTACTACCTGCCAACGTTTGCATCCGGTGTCAGACCCAACGCGACGAGTACGCTCACGCTGGAGGATAGCTCCGGTGTGATGCACACAAACGTGAATGATGCAAACGGCTCTGCTCCTCTTATTGCGTATGTGCAAGCCGGCGTGTCAGAGACACTGCGTGTGACGATCGCTGTCGTAAATGTCTACACACTAGAGTTTGTGAAGAGTGGGTCCGTCAACAGCGAGATTGCGGTGGAGACAAGGAGTCCAGTGTCGAGTGCGTATATGGTGGCCAATGAAAACAGCTACGCTGTGGTCGTGCAGACATCCGATGTGTTGATGGTCATTGACTACAATGGTTTACCAGAAGTCGTAACGCCAAAGTGGGCGCTGCACCTGCGTACAGTGCCTGAAGTTATTTTCTCGCCTCTTCGAGACTTGAGCGCCTCTGCTGATGAATGGCACCGTCGACAGGGCTCGCCGTCGTACACAGACTACAACCCGTACCACACAATTCAGGCAACAAGCCTTACTGTGGTTCAGGCGTCGTCAAATATGACCACGTATGCCTTGTCGTCTGGTTCTGTTAGCGGGAGCATGGGTGAGATATGGAGTGATGCATCGGCACCGTTTTGCAATATCAATGATCGCATTGCTGTCATCACAGCATTTGAAGACAATTTGGTCTACGTTGGCTGCACAGCCAGTGGCCACTACACCTTGATCGACCTCTTACAAGGCTCATTGTCCTACTTTATCAAGTGGCCAACGGTGTATCCGTCTGTGATGGCATCATTCGGTTATATTAACCGAATAGGATCTGTAACACTGTCCAATGGAACAAATGCCAGGGGTATTGACTTGAATCCATTGCTCTTGTTTAGCGAATCGGTTTTAAGCCAGCGGCGGCAACAACCGGCGGGCGCATATTACCAGGGTCAAGTTGCTATGCTGACGGAGGTCGATGAATCACCACAGGAAATGATGTTCTCGTACTATGTGCACAGCACTAGAGGAACGGACGGTGGCCGCACACCCATGCCGCGGAAAACTGGCCCCACGAAGCTGCCACGAAATGTGACCTCTGCGGCTCCGTTTACAGTGTTCTTTGGGGATCGAAAACGCTACATTGCCACAGCGACAACTGCTGGTATTCTCACTGTGTTCCAGGCGAGTGACGGCTCAAAGGTGTCCGACTTGAATCTTAGCATGTGCATTAAGGATCCGACACACCCAGAAGTGGATACAGTGGCATTTATGAATTCGTTGCAGCACTTTGGCTCTTACACGGATTACTACGTTGTACTTGGTGGAACTTCCACTTGTATTTTTGAAGTGAACGACACGTTGATTCCTCGCATGACACAATTTCAACGGAATACCCAGGGAGCTACCTTTGGAACCACCACGTACAGTGGCTACAGGTACACTACTGCAACAAGAGAACTGGCTGCATTCTCAAGTTTTTTTGACACCACATCAACGAACGTGTACTCGGTGGCAGGTCTTGATGCCTATGTTGTGGGTTCCAATGTGTTTGTCTACATCAAGGATGGTACCATTACTTGCCGAAGTGTACGAAGTGATATTACAGTCTGGACGCAGGCACTTCCTACGGGATATCAAGCTCCTATTGTGCACATGTCCTATTACAACAACACTGTATTTGTGGTGGATCAACAGAAAATTTATCGTTACGATGTTCAGTACCGTGAAGTCGATAATGGCGCGTCGCGTGTGCTTTTCCAAGCTACCGTAGGAGCTCCTGGTATGTCCATTCAGGGTTCGACTGTGGGACAGGGTATCGTGGTTGTCTATACAATCACAGCACTGTATGCGTATGACGCTGCCACAGGTCAACGGATGTGGCAACGCACCCCACGGACAACACAGTCGTTTTCTGGTGGAAAAACTGAGGTTGTGGTGTATGCACCGGAAGATGCGGGTGGAAGCAGTACTTCGGAGACAGGTCCCGCGTATATTGAGGTGCGTGTCAACACCCCTGGTAGAGAATCCATGCGGCTCGTTGATGTGTATACACAGTTCAGTGGGTCAGCACTGACTAGTGTATCAGAGGTGCCGAATGACTTAACCGGGCCTGTTATTTGGGGCAACAGGTACGTGACATTCTCGGCGGGTGGAGCGGGAGGGATGGTAGCCTTCCGTGCTCTTAACCTTCCGAACGTAACAATCCCAGAGCAGGCAAAGCGGGTGGCTACACCTACCACGGATGTGTTCGTGCCAGGTGAGAATCCCATTGTGCCGGTTCCGCCGGTCCTTCCACGTGGTGATGATATGGCAGCCGGTGCACCGCCAATGATCTTCTCTCTTATTGGTGATGCTGCTCTGGTTTCAGAAGATCGGACACATGCGGTTGTCGGAATTAACCTGCGCAAGGGCGAAACGACTGAATATACGGTGCGTTGTGTCAACGTGAATGATCCGCAAGGGTCACCAAGACGTGAATGGGCACTTAGGCCTGGGACATCTCTGTCCAGTGCCAAATTCTTGGGGATTAGCAATACTCATTTCGCTATCTTCACCACTACTCAGTTTCAGTTTTATGCGTGGTCAAATTGTCAGGAGATTGGTTCACTACAGGTGTTGAGTAAACCTAACAACGGCTTCCCACCCTACATTACCCGTGGAGACAAGAACCAGTGGATCTTCCTTAACGGTGAAGACGTTATTGCGATGGATGCTTCATCTGGTAACCAGGTGTGGCAGACAACGGTGGGCAAGTGCTCTACCATTCGACTCGTGGGCGGCTCTGTTATATGCGATGGTGGGTCTGCTGTGGCTGTAATTAACGCTGATAGTGGGGGCGTAATGTTCCAGGATGCAGCAGCGGGTGCCATTGCACTGGCCGGATCCAACTTTGCTGGTGTGGCAGTCACGGCACGTGGGTACAGTGCCGTTTACTACTCAACCTCGGGCAAGGTATTCGAGGCAGAAGTCGGGATTCCAGGGAATGCAGGAAACGTGGTGGCTGCGATTTCTGGGAGGTCGGCCACAAACGTCGTTGTGTTTTTCGATGGCTTGGTGGCGTCTGTAACATTCAGTCCGGACACGAGTAGTGCAAAGGTGGACTGGACCAACGACCTGAATGGGGAATCACCGCAGCTAGGCGCGGCTGGGTATGTGGCTGCTGCTAACGCCAACATTGCTGTCGGTACGTCCAATGGCATTGTCATGCTGGATGCTTCTACGGGCCAGCCGTTTGCAAACATATCCCTGCAGATCCGATTTCAGAAGGATGCTGGTGAAGTTCAAATGATGAAGATCTTGCCTGTGACGAGCAACAGCGTCTATGCTTTTATGTGGAATGGATACATTACGTTGATTAATAGTACTCCAGGTGAAGCATCGACAGTTTTCGCCTTCGGCTCCGGTGTAAAGCGTGCTTCTCAGCTCTCCCTTGTGGACAGATACCTTCTGATCAGTTCAGGTGCCTCAGCTGGCATAGTGCCGCTTGGCACATCGTACTGGGGTGCTCCTGTGTCGGAGGCAGCAATGACACGAGGTAACACCGGCATCTTTATTGCTGGTAGGGATCAAACGAACACCACGGGTGTGAATTTGGCTGCTGTCACATCGACAGGTAGGAAGTTCACTCGTCACGTTCCCAGAGAGGTCCAGATACTTAGTTCCATGCCGACAGGCAAGTTTGTGGTATTCTTTGGGAATCGCTCGATTAGTTCTATCGGTGACGCCGAGGGATCGGGTATGGACTTCGCATTACCTGCATCTTGTCTGGGGGCGGAACTAAAGTATGCTTCACGCGGTGAGGCTGTGGGTGGATCATCTGTAGTGTGGTATGGCGATTCTACTCACAGCTGCATCTTCATTGTCGACCAGAAAGGAGCCCCACCTACTCTACTGACGACTTTTACTGAAGTATACACAGGTATGGCGAATGTGCGTTACGGCAATAGCTTCGCACTTATCTCACCGATGGGCATCTCTTTTATTGGTCACGATGGGTACCTCATCGGTTTTGTCCCCAAAGACAGAGCCACCTACATATCTTCACTCTCCTCGCCTGATACCGGTCAAGGTATCGTGGTGACCGTCGATCGTGGAAACGGGATCAACTGCTTCCAGGTAGAAGAGATGCTGCATGTGTGGAACTACACCTTGTCAGCGACGTCATCAGCCCCCATAACTTATTACAACGACAGTATCTTCGTTTCAACAGAGAAGGGTCCATACCATCTCTCACTCAAGGAATTTACGTACCCATGTCCAGATCGAGCTCTCCTTTTTTTGTCGCGCGAACCCGTTGTGGGTCGCACAACGTATCACTCGCAGGTGGTGGTGAATGAGGTGTATACCATGGCCTACGTCACAACCTACCAGACCTTCTATGCCTTTGATACCTTCACAGGCGAGGTTTTGTGGCAACGCCCTGATCTATACGGTGTGAAACATGCGGTTGTGCTTCGAAATGGCATGCTGTTGGCAGCCAGTAGCGAGACGAGTGGTGTGGTATTCCTGAATCCCTTCACTGGTGAGACGCTGCTCACCTTCGCCGGTTCCGGTTTTGGCAGTAGTGCCGCTGTATTTACCTCGCCCAATGACATGGGGACCGTTGCGTTTGGTGATGCAATTGCAACTGTACTCGACATTGCAAATTACGACTCCTACTTCAATGGGGTGAAACCGAACCGACCAGTGAACACAAACACGCCGCCATACAGGCCGTACAGCTACAGCAAAAACGACCGCCCGAATGACTGCAGTGCACCAAGCAGTGCAGGTATGCCTCTCTATCCTCAAATAGGACTGGAGTGGGTCTCCGGATCGCATTATGGTCTTGCGGGTGCTGCGCAAACGTTTATCGACATTCCACCCGGTCACGAGAGCGGGTGGGCAGCCTCGTTGGGGACGCAAACAGTATACATTGCACGTGTCACAAAGGGTATATTTGAGCAAACTGCCCGTGTTCGCCTCGATGAAAGGGGGTGCAACATGCTGAATCTTTTCGCTTCCAGTGCAGAGAAGGTTATTGTTGGTATCAGGTGCAACGACAAAACACTGTTCTTCAACGCATCAGGGGTGCTTCAAGGAAACGGTACGCGTTTCGCAAAAAGCAGCCATTCCGCTGTCATAAGGGATTACGGGTTTTTCATGAATGACAAGAATTATTTTGACGGTATAAGTTTGTCTACTTTTAACATGGTACCGAATAGTGCAAACACCGTTAAGTGCGAGAGTGGGTATAATATGGTGGCAGTCCCCAAAGAAGAGCGTATTATATTATTCTGCGATGATGTCGGCATCCGGAGTGTGCAGTACTCTACCTTGAGCCAAATTGGTGGAATAGCCACCGCTGGGCCAGGTCTTACGACGTTTACTACCTATGACGTGGATGAAGCGAGTAATTTGGGCATTGCATGTGGCCAAGGTGGACCAGGTCTTTATATGGTGGTTTTCAGACTCAATAACGCCTCTGTCATAATGACGCACAATGAAACAATTAGGGGCAAGCCTCTCTGTGGGATTCGCTACCCGGACAATACTAACATCACTTCCCCATTGTTTGTGCTGGCCTATCCAGATGGGTTCAAAACGTGGTCCTTGACAGGCGGTCCACCCCGTGAAACCCAGAATATCGGTAACTCCATCCCCGCAGCGATAACATCCAACGGTGTCATATACCGAAACAAGGCCTATGATTACTACTTCCGAGGTTTCGGTGGATCCGCAAGTAGGCTGGTGAAGGAGGCTGCGGGAGAAGTGACTGGACACATGATTGTACGCGGCACTGACGGGTTTAAAGCAACTTCAGTGGCCATTGTATATGGTAGAGAATTCAGCTTCGCTCTCGACACTTCTATGGCGGATCCAAGGCCATTGTGGAGTGGTGGTGGTGGTATTCAGTACAACCCGAATGCGCGCTACGTTTCGTCAATACCGTATGTCTACACTACGACAGATACTCAAGCCTTCGTAGGTTTAATGGCAAGGAATGTCTCCTTCAGTGTCGAGGGAACGTTTCGGATGAGCTCATCGTTAGTCGACGGAGAGCAACGGGCATTTTTCGCACAACCTGGGACAATAGGCTGTGTAAGCAGTAGCGGTAATGTATTGTGGAACGTTGGCTTCAGCAACAGTGGCCGCCCACCCATTCCCTTCAGCCCCGTTGTGATGGAAAATTTGGACTACGGACTGGCATCAGGTGGCGGGCGCACAGCAGTGATTTTCAACAAGCGTACAGGTGCTATTGCGATGTCCTTCCTCTTGGATACGTGTCGGTTTTCTGCTGACGTCAACGACGCACAAGTGTTTACCAATGGAACACTGGTTTACATCACCATTATGAGGTGGTCGTGCATGCACATTGTAGACATCAACGTGAAAAATGAGACTGGCGTGCCAAGCATAACACCAGTGACGACGCTGGAGGTGTCGGGGTTAGCAGAGGGTATGAGAGAAGGATTTCCCATCTGGGCGAAAGTCGAAAGGGCTGACCACATTGTCTTTGCAGCTGAAACACCGAACACGGATGGACGCAATCAAACCTTTGTCGTCTACCGCATCGATAACGCGCGTACCTCTTCGTGGACGTTGTTATGGAGGGCTAGCCTTCGCGTAGACATGGGACGTACTTCCACGTATGGTTACTTCATTTACACCTCCGTTGAATCCATACTGAATGTGTACGATCTTCTGACTGGACGCTACGTCTGGGGATACATTTTTGATACAAGCATTACTGCTCCAGTTGTGGGTGCAGATCGCACGTTGTATGTTCTGACCGTAGGCGGTGTACAGTCGCTCCGATCATACCTCAACACAGCATGGTCTTTGCGTCTCATGGGCAACACCAGTGTGCCAAGCATGATGTTAGGTGATCGAAGCGCGCCACTTGGGCCGTTGCGCACACCATATGGACAGATACTCTTCTCCAGCATCGTAAACACGATAGCGTTTACGCACGAGCGGGAAGCTGCATCACTAAAGTTGGGATGGGTGGCAGAGAAGCCAATTTCTCGCCTCAATATGATGCCCTTAGCTGGGAACACGGTGGTGGGACTGTTCGACAGTGGTATCGGCTCTGGTGCGCTGGATCTTTCCTCCGGGTTGATGTTGTGGTTCAGCGGCGAGTACTCGGCGACTCCCATAAATAACGGTGTTTTCATTCCGAATGCTCCACTGTTTGCCTGCTCGTTTGTCCGCGAGAGTCCCACGTGCCGCTTAGTTCCTCTGGAGCTCCTGCAGCCTCGTACCAAATTGCCGTTGTACTTGTATGATGCAGAGCCACTTGAAAAAACACCGAGTGATTGGGTGCCGATTTACCCCGGGGGTGGCGGTAACAAACCGATGAGGCCAACTCCACGCTGTGTCTCTCTGATGTATTCACTCCTCCCGCCATTCGCGAACTGCGTCGTCGAAGTCATTGCAAAGACATATCCCCAAGGGCGAGATACACCGTTGTCATGCCCTGATGTGTTCTATCCCTTTTTGAAGTGCATGGAATCTCTGACATTGTTGGGTGACTCTTGTGTTGACGTTGCGACATACATGAGCGTGGACTGGAAACGCCAGACGTCAGACCCGCTGTCCCCAGTGGGGGTGTGCGACGCGACGGAATCGCAGTACCGCTGCAATACTACGGACGGGGAGGTGCTGGCAAAAACATGTCAACTCATGTCACTACCCTTTCTGCCCAGTGGATACGAAAATCCGGTGGGTTACGATCTTGGTTACGAACTCCCTGTATTCCAGTTTCCCTCGCCGCCAGTGTCGTCAAAGAGCAACGCTCTTGTGATTGCTATGGTTATTGTTGCCGTCGTTGTCGTCGTCGCCGTCGCTGCAGGAGTTGGTGTGTACTGCTACCGACGCAGGAAGAAGAGGCGTGATGCGCGGTTCTTCGACGACGACGACAACCAGAGCGCTGCTCTTCTTAAGCACGATAACGATGAAGAGCCCATGACAAGCTTTTCACCCCGCAGCCACGCTGCAAGCTCAATGATAAGTTCTCTAGACGTTGACGGCGTTGCACCACGTGCACCGCCACCACCAGTACAAGAGGATGACAGCTTCTCTGAAGTATCTGCTGTTGCACCAGCAGCAACAACAACAGCAACAGCAGGAGCAGGAGCAGGAGCGGCATCAGTCCCAGCCGCAGCGGCGGCACCTGCTGCCGCTAGGCCGAAGAAGATGCCGCCGAAGATGCCGACGAAGGTGCCGGGCAAGATGATGGCGAAGAAGGGCTTTGGCCCCAAGGTACCGCCACCGGCAGCAGGAGCCAGCACCAACCCCAACCTGGCAATTGTCGATGACATTTAAAACGTTTCACGTCTTTATTTTCGCCCTCCCCTCTGTCTGTGCCTTTGTTTTTTTCCTCTCTTCTTCATTCCCCTCTGTCCCATTCTTCCAACCGTCCCCCCCCCCCNTTTTTTTTTTTTTCCTTGGTGGCTGGTCTCTGTCCCGTCGGTGTGTCGCGCCGTCGCTGGCGATCGCCCCTCGGGCGGCGGGCGGGCGGATTTCATGCGGCAGCGGCGGACGCACGCGCGAGAAGTCATGCCAATCAAACCACTGTATCAACGACGATGCCAACGCAAACGGGGGTACGCACAACGCAAGAAATGATGAACAACTTACCAGGGACGGCAATGGGTGCCGTGACAACTCTCAATCCTACTGTTACTGCTTTTGTTTCTCCACTCCGCAGAGCGGCAGCAGAGGAAAAAAGAAAAGAAAACAAACAAATAAATTTGTATTGCCCCTCTCTCATTAGCGGTGAATTTCCCCCTCCCCAACAGCGACGCCTCTGCCTCCTTGGTGCTCCTCACGCCTTGCTTGCATTGGTACGTGTGTGTGCGTGCTGATGGGGGTGGCAGAGAGGCTACCAAGAGAGAGGGGCAGCCTGTTACCTAAAGCGAGAAGCGTGCGAATGACGCACCAGTGTTGTATTTGGGTTTCTTTGTATTGTTAAGGGAGTTGTGGGGACATGAGCGAGCGAGGAGACAACAGAGAACGTGTGCAGTCAAGTGCAATGATCGTTATATATATATATATATGCTAACAAACCAACAACAACAAAAAGCAAGAACAAAAAAGACAACAGAAGAGATACGATAACGAAGGAACAAAAAAAAAACTAGAGGGATAGAAAGCAGTGGAAGCGGCTGCATTTGTAACTGAGATGCAACAGTAATATATAATCATGTGTGCCGGCATATGTACATGCGTGTGTCTGTATGTACGTACGTCTGCAGCTGTGCACGCCGCCGCTACTCTCTTCTGTTGGTATCTCTATCTATCTTTCTATCAACCTATATATATATATATATATATAT